CTCAGTTTGTTTAAACTAAAATAAAGTTGGGTTTTTTTTCCTTCCTTCTCCCCCAGTTTTACTTAAATATATATGGGAATCATTTATCTACATTACAAGCAGCAAATCTGTATAGCAGAAACACACACAATGATACTGTAAGAATACAGTGATAGCAAATATGAAAGGGAATTATACATTATGGAACACAAGAGAACATTTTCTGTGCAGAAAAATACAGTAGAACTTGTATGAAATAGATCAAAAACTGACAAGAAACTATAAAAACAATGAAAAAGAGTAAAAAGGCATTACAAAAAAAGGATAAAAAGAAACATTTCACAAATATCTAAATTTATAGACAATATTGAACTTCTGTTCACGATGACTATTGCACTAATGGAACAGACAATGCCAGCTCTCTGGCATATAAACTATGAGCCTGGCTTCAGTCACACAGCTGATAGCAATATTGTTCCCAATTACAAGGTCATTTCTTTTAATGCTAGCTTGGGCATCTCTCAAGACAGACTTCAAACATATCCAATGGGGGTCAATTGCATCTGAACTCTGAATTTCAGCTCCTACTGATTTCATTTTAGATTCTCATGAAGAGTCTGGGTCAGGCCCTGTTTCAGAGGGCCTTCCAACTTGCCTCCTTTAGCATTAGATGAACTTTTAGGAAAGTTCAATTCATACGCAGATGTTAATCCTGGAAGATAGCGTTGTATGGTTTTATTCCTGGAGATTTTCAGCATGCATTCAGAAGCTAAGGAGTAGGTTTCACAGCCTACTCCTTGCACTACCTAAAATTTTGCATTATTTTACTAATGATCATTAGTCTCACTTCCACCGGCACTACGAGGTGCAGAAACATTTTAATTGTGATCTGTGCTTACTTGTAATTTGTTCATCTTCTAAGTCTTGCAGTATAAGCTTTTCAGCATCTTGATTGCTGCTCTTCATAAAGTTTAAATAGGAGAGAACTGATTCTGGTAAGCCATCTGAAATCTAGAAAAACATGACTTTTGACAGAAATTCTACATTTTCATCTCACAGTTTTGACAGAGGTAAATACTTGAAATGTAGTATATAGACTCCTTTTGGCTTCACCTATAAAGCATCGATGGACATTTAATAGCAATTGCCACCAAAATTTTTCCCAATTCCTATACTCTTTCTGTTACCACTCATTGAACAATTAATAATTCTAATTTTAATTACATTCTAATCAAATTTTAGTAACTTATCTTTCACTGACTTCAGAAACATGTTTCAGTTAACACTGTGTTTATAACTGTTGGACTAAGAAATTAAGGAAAAGGATGAGACAAAAATGAAAAAATAACTACCAAGCACAGGATCTTTTTCTTTAAAATGTTTAGATTCTTTTAAAAATAAATAAATTTTAAATTTACTAATGTTTAAAGTATGCATGTAAATCCAATGCTTCAACTTTCTTTACTGCATAGAAACCTTCTATTCAAAAGACTGTCTTTTGCTGCAAGAATTTGGTAAAATGGATTGCCCTCTCTCAAATGTGCAAATTGTTGTAAACACTGCTGACATTCAGTATGTGAATGCACAAACACTACTGATGCCTTTGTGAATCTTTATGTCATGTCAAGCATGATTTATGGTCACATATGACCAACATTATCTACCCTAATATCCTACAAACCAGTCCTTTTACTATGAGTCCAAAAGATAAAAATAGCTGAAAAGGATCCAAATAAATAATTGTATTTCAGAGGAAAATAATTCCCCAAAATAAGAAATTATTCAAAGTTATTATAAATCTATATAAATCTATATAAACATATATAAATATATATAATTATAAATAAGAAGATATTCAAAAAGAAGACCTGAAGCACCCATTTATATGAAAATAATATGTGGAAGTCCCATTAGGAATTTCATAAGACATTCTCCAATAAGATTTTAAATACAGATTTCAATGAGGAATCATTGGCTTATTCATCCAAATTTAATCAACCTCTATAGCTTCGATAAAATCTTCCAGCTCCAGAGGATTCTGGAACAAAATATCTGTGTCTGATTTTCTCACTTAAGTAGAATGCTGATATGCATCTCTCTTATTGTCCTGTCACCAATGGAGGTTCACTTTCCATGACGCAATACTATCGAGACTACTTTACAGAAGAAATCCTCAGGTTAGGCATGTCAGGAGTACGTTCATTCATCCGACAGAACTCCCAATGCCAGTACTACTTTCAAGTAGTAATAGAAGCAGTCGTAGCTCATTCAATACTTACTGTCTCACTGTCACTCAAAGGTTCATCTGATGCCTCTGTGTCAGGATCATCTACTTCAAAGGACGTAAGACTGATTCTGCCTAATTCAATTTCTATCTCTTTTTCAATTCCTTCAGTATCTTCTGACATTCTGCTTTCCACAGTGTCTTATCTGTTTTCAAAGCTACACAAAGAAAATAATACCTTTCAGCACAGCATGAACCAAATTAGTCTTCATTTAGCCTATGTTCATTCAGATGTATTTACTGAACAGTTGGCTTAAAACATCAACATCTTACTCCAGAACAACAAGCAAAAATAAAAAAAAAATGTTACCTTGTGATAAGAAAATCCCCCTGAGGCTACCGCTCAAAATTTTGCAAATGTTATGAAATTTCAATATGAAAAAACTCTGCCTGCTGTCTACTCTTTGTGGAAAGTATCAGTGCCATGACCTAAGGCTCACAAGGAATTTTTTTCAGCCCTAAGAGTTACAAAGCAGAAAAAAGTTTTGAACAATAAATAAGTAATAACAATTACAAAATAAGACTAAGAATCCAAAAGCACTCAATGACGTTTTAATGACACAGAGAAAACAGTCAGAAATGTCACAACCCACAGAACAAACTTGTGGATGGATCCAGAGCGGAGGAAAACGGGTTTCCCTTCATCCCCACCTCCCTCCTTCCGCAACCAGTGCCCCTTTTCAACCCAGGGACATGAGAAGCAGCCTAGATCCGCCCCATCTGAGGCAGCGACCAGCTCCTGGTCCCTCGCAGGCTCCTGCAACAGGAGACGGGACGCGCGGAGCGCATCTCAGCCGGGACGGCGTTCAGCGAATCCGGCGAGGGAAAACTACACCTCCCAAGAGGCATCGCGGCGGGAAACAGCCCGGATTCTAGGACGATCCGCCCCTTTGCATACTGGGAGTTGTAGTCCACCATTCCGAGCAACGGCCGCCCTCCGGTCCCCCTTGTTTATTCCACATACCAACTTACCTACCGTTCACCCGAACCTCTCCCGGAGCTCCCACCTTCCCGGCCGCCTCCGGAGGCCGGCCACCTTTCCACTCTGAAATCCCGCGGCCGCCAGCCGCTGCCGGTCAGGCACTCCGTGCGGAGAACGAGAACCCACCGCTGCGCCGCCGGGAGCGTTACCACGGCAACGGGAAACAGCGTCTCGGACGGACAGCGGGAGGAGCCAAACCCCGCCAGGAGCTGCCGTTTCCTACTGGGGCGGCAGGCGGCGTGTCCCGGCGTGGCGAGGAGCAGCTCGCAGTATTTTATTTGGGTTTTTTGGTTTGATTTGATTTGAGGTTTTTTGTTTGTTTCTTTCTTTGGTTGCTTGTTTGTTTGTTTCTTTTGTTTGGTTTGGTTGGTTTGTGGGTTTGGTTTTGTTTTGTTTTTAAGTAATAGACTGGAATTTAGTCTTCACAGTAAATTGGAATAGGCAGTTAATCGTGGTGGGAAAAAAAGGCAGACCAAAGACAAGTTAAAGGTGGATTAAACCACTATGGTTTTGCTTCCTGCTTTCCACGAGAACTCCAGAGCCATGAAAAATGAAAACTTGCCAGACATGCCTTCTGTCCTCACACACTGGGGCTCTGTCACGGCTCAGAAAGGCCAGTGTCGTACTGGCACTGGGCTCACTGGGGTGGTCAGCCCGGTGAGGCAGGAGGGGTGCCCATGGAATCACAGAATGGAAGGGACCTAAAAGATCACCTTGTCCCAACCCCACTGCCCTGGGCAGGGACACCTTCCTCTAGACCTAAGGGTTGCTTAGAGCCCCGTCCAACCTGGCCTTGAACACTTCCAAAGGTGGGGCATCCACAACCTCTCTGGCAACCTGTTCCAGTGCCTCACCACCCTCTGTGTGAAGAATTCCTTCCTAGCATCTAATTTAAATTACCTTGCTTTTAGTTTAAAATCGTTCCCCCCTTGTCTGCCTGTGTAAAACGTTCCTTTCTCTTAAGAGCCTGGAGGCCATATCCAGACTTAAAGGAAATGTCCAGAATTAAAAACTCCACACAATTCAGTCTAGCAAAAGCGATACAGGGCAGGCAGGATGCAGATAATAACATTTTAGTCTGTAATGGTGTTCACAGGGAAAGCATCTGACCCTGAGACTGATAAGGAATATCAAGATGCAAAGGCAGGTATAATGAAAAAATGTAAAGTCAGGTTTTGCATAGAAAGTGTGCATTTTGGGAGCAATGGGGAGGATCTGACAAGAATGGTGGGGGTTTTTCTATCTACCATCTTCAGAATAAAATTAATATCTTTCTGAAAGACTTATGGATGTTAAGCACAAAATACTGGATTCAAGGGCAACCCTTTACTGTTTCCTCACCAGTGTTATGGATGAGTAAGACATTTAAATATTAAAATAATGGAAAGTCACCCATTTGAAATCCACCACTTCCCAGAATCATGTAACTGGTGAACTTTTCAATCTGGTCAATTTTTTTAAGCATTGATTTGAATATGCATTTAGTACTTGTTTTGTGAAGGTGTTATGCTGTGACCATGGTGAATGAAGACCATGTCATGTATTTAGCAAGTAACTTTACCAATAAAAGAGAGGTTTCTGTAGGCATGTTGCCTGTATCCAGGAAGTCAGGGCTAGCCAACAGAGGAAAACTTCTCTGTTGTAAGAGTGTGTTTACACTGGACTTCAGGAAGAAATGTATTACTATTAGACTGTGTTCTTTAAGGTAGGATGTAAATATTAAATCCTGATAAGGATTTTTCTCATGTAGAAACAATATTATAAAATGTAAGTAATTTTATAAAGATAATATTTCTAATTTTCAGATAAATAATACAAGGTAAACTGAATTATTTAAAATTACTCAAAGCTTTGAAACCACATAATTTTTACAACAGAACTATTGGAGATGCCAGTTTTCAAATGAAATACGTAACTGTCCATGTTTTATTCAGTTTTTGTTTACTAGAACAATACATCACAGCAATTTTTTAATATATTCTGGTTTTGAAAATTTTCATGAAATTTTACTGCTCCTAAAAGTGGTGAGACTTCTTCAGGGAGAAAAGCCAGTTATCGCATACAATCCATAAGTTTACACGGTGTGTTATTGACCCCATTATTGACTCCACTCCACTCCACTGTGGAGCAGGTTTGAGAAGCTTACTATAGCTTTCTTCACTGTGCAATTCAGCAACAGAAGTTTCATAATCCAGACAGGCATTGAGGACCTTGACAGAGCAAGCAATGCTTTTGTTTGCTCAATCTTTTCTTCTGAAAAAAAAAATTTAATATATATGTAACATATGTTTTGTATCCAAAATAAGTTGTTAATGCAAGAGAGTTTTTGACTGCAGAAGCTTCATATTTGTTATCTCTTCATGTCAGCTGGTATCCTTAGTAATTAGAAAGGGCATTGAAGACTATAAGCACAAATGTATGCCAGTCTATGTAACTCTTGCCATGTAAATCTTCCAAAACACATGTTGCTTTCAAATGTTTTTTTCAGTTAAAATGAAAACAAAGCTAAAAATATATAAATCAATATATGTATACAATGTAACATTAGGTGCAATTGAGACCAGACGCCATCTTGATGCTTCTACAGTTGCTACTACTTCTTGTTCAAAATATCAAATGACTGTTTAATTTTATACAACATTGTCTGAAGAAAATAAATACTATTGTAATCAATAGACTTAGTTATATTTGTTTCATATTGAATGTATGACTGTATTTTCAATTGTGATTCAAAAATGAAAACAGAAGAATTCAAATAATAGATAAAACACTAATACAGAAGTACTATCTAAGTGCCATCAGTGGAATTTTCTAGGTTAAAAAAAATCTGTTTTCTTTCTCTTATTTGGCAGCTTCAAAATATTCTTTAAGATGTTTTTAATTAAAGCAACAATCCTCCTTTTTTTTTTTCTTTCCCAGGCTCTAGGTCTTATGCTTTTGACATTTGGCCTGTGGCTTTTATTCAACAGAAACAATTTATTCAGTGTGTTATGTGAGTATAAATGGAATTTTTCATTTGTTTTAAATAATTTGTTTTTAAAAAGTGCCCCATCCTTGTAAGTGTTCAAGTTCATGCTGGATGGGGCTTTGAGCAATCTTTCTAGTGGAAAGTATCTCTGCCCATGGGAAGGATGTTGAATCTAGGTGATCTCTAATGTCCCTTCCAACCCAAACCATTTTATTGTATGGTTCTCTGTAATCAACAGAAATAGTAATAGATTTCCATTTCCACAAGGTGGCAGTATTGGACTGAACTGCATAGTTGTAGGGTTTTTTTTCTGTTGAGTATATTTTCCCTCATTAGACAGTATGATTTTCAAAATAGGAGAAAACATATATCGTTATATCTACAATTTATATATTCTTATAATTTATGCAATTTAATTATTTCTCCTGGTGGAAAGCTTGTAGATGAATCACTGAAAAATAAATCAGCTCTTTTTATCTTTTCTGCATTTGGCCTGCATTTGGCAAGATTATAGATGCTTTTAAGTAAATATTTAGATGGAATGAATAAAAGTATAAGAACTTGGGCCTCTCCATATGGACATTGCTTTTTCAGAGAGTGTCTATCATTTTTTTTCACAGAAAAGTAAGTTTTTAGTCACATAACAACAGCTGTGCTTTTAAAGACTTGACTGCCTTGGCAATGTTGAGAAGCATCAGTGCAGTAATTATGGTACAAAGCATTTGATCTGGAAGTAATAAAAACCCCAGCTACTTCCCATATCTATGGAAAAATGGTTGAATTAGAAAGGAGAAAGTGGCCTGTCACAAAGAGGCTGAATCTGAGCCTCAATTTGATGAGAACGATTTCTATATCCCCACAGAATTTGCATACGTGATAATAATTTCTGGAGAACGAAAAAAAATTTGTAAACTTGTAATTGTTTTCTGATTTCATTTTCAGGGGTTCACACTGTTCGACTGAGAATGTTCTGTTTGTATCTCATATGTTGCTACCATCATCTGAATTTATGAAAATATATCTTTTTCTCTCTGTGACTGTAGGTATAAATAATAATAATACTCTTCTATCATTCTACTATTTTCACCCTTTCAGTAATGGCATTGAAAATATTTAAACATTTTTCTAGAATAAGTTTTGTAAGTGGAAGTCTCAGAAAAAAAAAAAAAGGAAAAACATAATAGTATAAATGCACTGTGTTACAGTTTCTTCGGGGAGAACCAGCTAGTGGCATATATTTCTTGTGTATTGCTTGACATTGGATCTGTTATTACTTTTACATCAACCATGGGATTCCTTGGAAGTACTGTGAAAATCAAATGTCTACTCATTACGCTAAGTGTAAATCAGTCTCCAACTTTCTTGTAAAATGAGAGGGAATTTTGCATGCATGAAAAATGTGATCCTGTCTTGATGTGATTTCCAGACACAGCACTTAACAAATGTGCTGATAGAAAGACATATTTACATAAAGTCCTGGCTCAAATGAAATCTCAACAAAATCAAGGATCTTTCCATATCCCTGCATGGAAGTTTTCAATGACAAAGGTTCAGTGTTCAGTATGTGCTGAAGAAATAAAGAAAATCCTGCTCCAGAATATTGCAGCTTGAAGGTACAGGTAGCTACAGTATGGCTACAATATTGAAACAGCAAACTATGATTAAAAATTTGTTACCTATGTAGACCTACTTGGAGACTCCATATTTATAAAGAATTCCTGCTTTTTAAGGGAAGAACACTTGGATTTCTGAAAGATTGCACTGTAACTATATATTCTTATATCACTTTGATTACATATTTTTCTTCTGTCTTTTGTTTCTTGTCATCCCTTTTGAACGATCTGTTTTAGGCTGCGAAGGCTGAAGCAATGAACAGTGTTACTGATTCATTTGTTAAGCACTACAATATTCATTAATACTCAATATTTTGTACAGCAAAGAGAGGACCCCAGGTGCAATAACCAGGAACCTTGTTCCTTCTTCCTTCCTAATACTGCCTAGGCATGTAGTGCTTGCCTCACAATTTATTAGACAATGAAAGAAAAAACTGTCTCATTTCCAACATCCATGAAACCATCTAGTATCACAGTATCTAGATACTGTAGGTGAAAATTTGTTATCACTGAAAATGA